AGAGACACACACACACACCAGACAAACTAAACCAGAATCTTGACGTGGGCATTTTTCTGGGTGATTCTAAGGTGTTAAGGGTCATGGGTCTCACTTGGCCCAGCTGCTGCCCCAGTTCCCAGATTGGGAAAGACAGCGTCCAGAGGTCCTGCCCCAGAAGCTCCTCCCTGCACGAAGCATGTTGGTGGCATGCATGGCATTAACAAGCCTGTGGGTCATGCTTGGTGGCATCTCCCTGCTGTGGTCACATGTGGGAAAACAATAAGCAAGAGTCAAATGTCAGGGGTGGGTGGAATTCAGAGCATCCTTATTAACCAGCAGGACTAGTGATCATCAATGAGGGCTTCCCCAGGGCAGAATAATTCTTGGCATTCTCCATGAGCTTTTACCCTCAATCCTTTAAGGAAAGCTCTTGGTATAATTTCTGTTTTCAAGATGAAGACATAGTGTTAGGACTTGCCCAACTCCTCTGGTTTTATTTTCGGGCCACTTGGGAAGATTCAGCCCTAATCTGAAGTGTTCTGTGACGTGAGGGAGGGAAGGTCTATCTACAGAGATAGGTTGTGATGGAACTGCCTGGAGCACCCCACCTCCTCACAGTGCCTCACCCTTGTCACCCCCACACCAGCAGTCTAAACAGAAAGGGAGGGCACAGACCACTCAGCCCCTGCTGGAGACCTGCCCTCTGTCTCCACAGCCTCCTCATCTAAGGAGAGGAAACCATGCTTACCTCTTCTAAGGGCTGTGGAGGAAGTAACAGAGAACCTGTAAGATGCTGGGTGGGCTCCCTTCCCCTCAGCCCTCTGGTGGGCTATGGGAGGCAACTGGGGTATGCATGAGGTACACAGGATATGGCCACTTACACTTTGGTCAAATCCGCTGATAGAGGCCGTGCCTGGAGCGTCCTCCTCCTGATCTCGGGCTTTACCTCCAAGCTCTCAGTGGCCCAGCCTTTGATCCGCTCCTGGACACTCATTCCCACTTTTTCAGTCTCTGGCATTGTCAATGGAGGCTCCAAGGTGGCTGAGGGAGGCTCAGATCCTCCTGCTGAGGGGGACGTAATCTCTTCCTGAAACAGGCTGAGGCGCTTCTTGACACTGCCCCTGGAGGTCCACTCCGTCCCCACCGGGGACTCCCCATTGGCCCCTCTGTTCTTGGACCCAGCACGTTCCAGCCCTCTTCCTGACCCGGGTGAAGGGGACTCGGGCGCCTTCTCTGGCTCCTGGTCCAGCCTGGCCTTCTCTTCCTTCGGGCTCTGATCACCTGCAGGGGGAACCTTGGCTGAGCAGCCCTGGGTCCTGGGGCCACCCATCTCTATCTGTTTAAAAATCAGCTTCTCCTTCTGTTCACGGACTTTCTTGATGCCCTCCAGGAAGTCTGGGTCATGGTGTGAGGTCCTTGCTTGGACAGAACAGTCCCCGTCCCCTCTGGCCTCCAGGTTGGCTCTCTCTGGCCTACGGCACACCGCTCCTTTTCCCTCATCAATCACCTTCTTTAGCAAGGCCTCCTTGTTCTCAAACCGGGCCGTGAGGTCCATGGACAAAGGTCGGGGCTTCCTCACCCATGTCTTCTCAGGAGGAGTCGGGGGCACCTTGCCCACCCCAGCTGTCCCTCCTGGGCCTGGCTTCAAAGGTGGAGCACACTCTGTGAAGATGGCAGACACGGGCCTCCTCTTTGGGCGAGGCCTGGGCTCTGGTGCAGGAGCTATAGTGTCCTCCACACTGCTGGCCTTCAAGAGAGGCTGCTCTGGAACTGCTTCCACTTGGCATGGGGCTGCCCGTGTGTCCTGCGGCAGGGAGGCTGGTCGGGGAAGGGTTCCCATGGGCTTGTGGGCAGGCACGGCAGGCTTGGCAGCCACCTCTGGCCGGGCACTGGAGAGGGCCTTCTGGGACACTCCCGTGCCAGCCTCTCCAGCCCCCTGACTGAGCCCTTTCCCCGGAGGGGGACCAGCTTTGGTGGTTTCAAAGAGAATCATGGTGCTGAGGCTAGTGCTTGGGCTGGGACGCAGAAACATGGCCTTGTTGGTCACCAATGCGCTTTTCCTGGGGCTGTCCCCACCATCCACGTCTTGCCCTGCCAAACTGGGCATGCTTGGGTTTGGATTCTTGGCTGCCACCTCCACAGAGACACCAGTGGGAGATGGCCTGGGGGGACCAGGCCGCAAAGATACTACGTGGGACTTGAAGTCGGAGGCCTGCTCCCTGGAGAAGGGCTTAGGGGCCAGTCTTGGCAGAGGAAACAGGTGGGCAGGGCTCCGCAGGGGGCTTTGTCCTTCTAGGATCTGGGTTGGGGGAGCCCCAGAGGTGTCACCTGCTTGGCAGAAGAAGGTCCGCTTTAAGGTCTCTTTGCTGATGTCACCAAGGCCTGGCACCGCTGTCAGGGATGTTATGGAGCCAACCTCAACCCGTGTTGCCATGGTTACTGCTGTGGCTCCATAAGGATTAGAAGCATTGGAAAGGGAGGAGAAGCAACTGCTTAAAAAAAAAAAAAAAAGGGAGAAAGTAAATTTAGCACTTAGTCAGGGTCTGCGTCAAAGCAAAGGTGTGGAAGAAAAGGACGGAGCCCTGATTCTAGAGCCTGCTCCCCCTCAGAGGGCTCCTCCAGGCATTTCTTGACTCAGCCAATCTCAGGACCAGCTCTTAGAGTGAAAGGGGCAAATGAGAAAACCAGTGTGGTGGCAAAGGAACAGGGCTGGCATCACCCCAAAAAGGAGAGGCATGGTCCAGCTCTACCTCACACCACGCACTGCAGGCATGAGCCCCACAGCACGCACCCTCAAGCTCTCCCACTCTTTTTTAAAAATCTATTTATGTATTTGGTGCAGGGTCTCACTACACAGCTTGGACTTGTAGTGATCCTCCTGTCTCAGCCTCCTCAGCGCTGGGATTACAGGCATGCACCACCACGGCTGAGCTCAGTGGCCAGCATGGTGTGAGGGCGCGCACAGCATGGCATGTAGTACTGGGGATCAGACACAGTTCCTTGAGCTTGCCAGGCAGGCGTTTAGACTGCTGAGTTTTCTCCCCAGCCCTTAATTTAAAAAAAAAAAAAATTTCTTTTCTTTTTTTTTTAAAGTATCTGGTATAGTCTCACTAGGCGGCTTAGACTCAGCGATCCTGTCTCAAAGCTCCCGCACTCTCGCCACCCTGATTACTTCCTATTTTGGAGCCTGCTTCCATCAGACAGACCTCCCAGTAACCCCGTGTTGAGCACCGGGGCAAGGAGCATGGACGAGGCCAGCCCCGGCTCACAGAGCCACCCGAAGCTGCAGCCGTGCGCAGAGTGCCAAGCTGGCGAGCGGTTGGCGGAGCCCGTGTCTAAGCCCCCAACTCCCCTCCTGGGGTGCCCCTGAGCCTTTTATCTGCCTCTTATCTTTTTCATCTTAGTTTTCTTAGATTTAAAATCCAAGCATTATTTTTCCCACTCGAGCTGCTAATATTTGCTATGAGTTGTTTTCTGTGGAACACTTGTTTTTTGTTTTGTTTTGTTTTAATGCTGTCTGCTTTCTTTTCTTTTTCTTTCTTTTTTTTTTTTTTCTTTGTTTCTCTTTCGTTATGTGGTACCAGAGAGTAAACCCAGGGCCTGTGCGTGCTAAGCAAGTGCCCTGCCACTGAGCTGTGTCCCCAGCCAGGTTCACATTCTTGGCAGGAAGAATCAGAGCTCCCGGGAGGGCTCACCCTACGTGAGACCTCTGGTGAGGCTGAGGGCTTTGGGTGCTGCATAATCCTCACCCTCAGGCCCTACAGGGTGGGGCCGAGGAAGAGACCTCACTTCTCGTCCTCTCAGGTCAAATGCCCTCACCCACTCAGCTATGCAGTCTGCTCTCTTGGGCCTGAGTTTCCTTCTCATTAATCCCCAAACAACTTCAAGAGGCAGAAGTTATTACCGTCTGTCTCACAGAGAAGAAGAGAAAGGCCCTGGGGAGGTCACTTGGTTTGCTTACAATCACTGAACTGAAACTTGACCTCTACTCCTGATTCATTGAGCCCTGCCTTTTGAAAAAATATTGTTTTATTCTCTTCTGATTTTAAAAAGTGCCAGGGAAGTCACTGTTCTTAATGTCTAGTATTATCTTTCCCTGTAAAGCCTTCCCTCTCCCACCAGCCTCCACCTAGATGCACTAAAAAAGAAGGTATTTTAGTTAAACACAGCCTTCCTTCCTTGGACCCTGTGCAGCCTCCCCCACCCTGCACAGCTCTGACTCACTCAGCAGTCTGCAGGAAAGAGAGACCAACAGATTTTGATATTTTCTCTTCCCTACACATTTGATGGTGCTAACAGATTCCATCTCCCCAACCAAGAGAACAGTGTCTAGACAGGGTTAGAAGGAGAAGAGAGGGGCAGACCTGGAGGATCTGTGAATTGAAGAACCTCCATCTATGAAGACCCCTGGCAGAGATCTGAAGGTCCTGCCCACGGTCGGGGGTGTCCAGCTTCAGGGCCAGCCACTGCAAGCTCTTCAAACCCTGCTCTGAGACCCACATGGAGCACAGACAGGAGACACAGGACATTGACAGGATCAAGAAGACAGACAGATGCTTCCTTAGTGTGCTCCCCCTTGTGGACTCTCTCTGGGTCAGCATGTACCCCACTTACCTGAGCTGGCAGGCCCAGAGTGGGGATGTGCGGCTGCCAGGGAAAGCCACCGGGGTCACAGCTCATGGCGAACGGGGTTGTCTGCACACTCCCACGGCTGAAGTGGATAGGGAAGGAGGCTCATCCTTGCAATCTGAGTTTCAGCCGGTCTGGGGAGACACAAGACGACAGCTCAGTTCCGGAGTTCCAGCAGTACGTGCACAGACGGTGCAAAAGCTTTCAGGCTCCCACTGCATCCGCTGGCATCGCCTCCAGCTTCCAAGCCTCATGCTCCTTTTGGCTCTTCAATTTCGTAGCCTTATATATGCGTGTATGCGTGATTAGTGTGAGATCACAATAGGTGCTCAACACATACCGTCCCTGTTTGTTCAGTATGTATTTATGGAGCACCTGCTGTGCACACAGAGATGAACTAGAAATACTCCTGAAACTGCGGAGCTCACAGTTTTGTGTAAGATACACACACACACACACACACACACACACACACACAACTGCCACACTGGGTAATAAATGCCCTGGTTTAGAATGGGCTGTGGGACACAAGGATAGGAGGATTAACTGCCTTGGAGTGGAAATGATGGCCTCAGACTACGTCATCAATGCAGAGGAGGTAACTATTGACCACTCAAGGTAATTATTTCAAGAACTCTTTCTTCCGTTTTGCAGTATTGTGTACTGGCTGTGTGGGGTACCTCAAACACCTTCTCAGGGCTTTTGTACATATGGGATCTACCCTTTGGCAGAGCCCCGCTTGCTCCCACAACTTACACACAGCCCCAGAACTGGTCCAAACCCCTAGTGCCTATCCATGAAGAACCACAGACAGAAACATAGGAACTTGGCAGGACTGCCCAGAGACATACAGGCACATGTGCTAGGGCGTGAGCCTTCCCCCCACATTCAACAGTAAGTCCCCAGGGGCCAGCGTGCTTGCTTGGCATATACAAGCATGGAACTCAATTGTTGAGTGACATGGTACAGATGAGCTTAAGCTGGCTCTGCCTCCATTCACTCAGGGATCACAATGGATGTGTACGGGGACCCAGCCTTCTGTCACAGCACCCCTGCGGACCAGGGGTGATTCTTGTCCTCTCTGGCCCAGGTCTCCTGGAACCAAACACAGCGCTGGATCGGGACACTCATCTACCTTTGTATACCCAAATGTAACTGTGCATTGACTATTCAGAAACACTCAGGTTAGAACAAAAAAGGTGTAAGCGAGACAGACGGAAAGGAGGCTGGGGCTCTTCACTTCTTTTCTCTGCCAGGGGATAGCTGGCCTGAGAAGGCCATGTGAGCCCCCGAGACTGTGGCACATTGTGCTTTTTCTGACTCTTGGGGAAACTGCACTCAGAAAGATAAAATCAGAATCATGTACATATGATGTACAGAAAAGCCTAGTCAATACATTTAAAACTTCAGCTTAATATTTAAATATTATCTTTAAAAAAACCATTAAAACATCCTTGAAAAAAATTGTTGAGTGAATAAATTAATTCCCTACTCTTCCAAGATACCCAGTAAGTGCAGGTGCTGTGAGTACCGTGACAAGTGACACACAAGGCACCCGGGGCACAATTCGAGTTGCTCTGGCCACAGCAGCTGGAGGAGCTGTGAAGTGTTCAGCAGGAAGCTCAGCCTGTCAACCCCCACCCAGGGGGCACTGTCATGCTGTCAGTCTGGGCCCCATGGAGAAGCCCTGTGCCTCAGGCTGGCTGCTGTGAGTGCCTGGGGTGCCCGCCTTGCCCTCAGTGCCACGGCCACTCAGCTGCTCACTTGGGGGCTGGTCGGGCATCCGCATGGCTTTTCCTGGGAAGGAGGTCCCACAGAGCAACCATGCTGAGCCCGGATCTATGGTACCCAAATGTCACAGGAGGCCCTTGGGATCCTGGAACCCACCTAAGTAGCTACACAGCAGGGAAGCAAAGTGAAGACATGGAAAATTAGTCTTCAGTCAGACCCCTCTTCAGAATGACAGTGCCTGTCGCCTGTGACCTGCTTTGTATCTTGGGCCATCACTTAGGTCACCATTCCAAATACTGGGCAAACGCCTGCTTGGTCTGTAAATATGGTGACAGGGGGTCATCAAGGAATTAATGAACAGAATCCTGAACAAAAGAGAGCAAGAGAAGTCTCTAAACCACTACAGAGAGACTAAAATTGTATTTTAAAGTCCTTCCCAACCCTAGAAACCCAAGGGTCTCAAGTTTTCATGTAACCCAATTCTAAAATGCCAGGGACCTGATCTAAATCTGTTCTAAACTCTTACTTTAAATGTATCACATACGCTATGGCTGATTTAAGAGACGTTAGTCTCTTCCAAAACACTTCAGAAGCCCACTCACACTGAAACCAACTGCTATTTATTTCTGGGGCGGGTTCATACCTTCTTCATAAATGCACTAGAGAGATGTCAAGAACAAAACCAGGTGGCCAAGAGCTTTATAAACAAGGGAACAGGGCATGGTGGTGGGCATCTATAATCCCAGTTACTGGCGTGGATGAGGCAGGAGGATGGTAACAGCCCAGACAACTTAGCAAGATCATCTCTTGTAATTTTAAAAAGTGTTGGGGGGGCCTGCCCCTTAGCTCAGTTCTTTAAGTGGCTGCTTCAACAAAGCAGTCAGGCTCAGGTTGCTGTGGTTAGATCCCCACAACACAAGCCAGCCAGTCATGCCTTGAAGGCATTCGGAGCAAAAAAAAAAAAAGTGTTGGGCCGGGAAGACGGCTCAGGGGAATAAGTGCTTCCCTGGCAAGGGCAATGGCCTGAGTTCAATCCCCAGTTCCACCAAAATAAATAAATAAATAAATAAATAAATAAATAGTGCTGCTGACATATATACACATACATATACATCATCACGGAGCTCAGGAGGGTCCAGGCAGGCAGCAAGGTGCCCACAAGGAGGCGCGGTGAACCAAGAGGGGATGGCTCAGGCCATTTCTCTGCTGCAGCTGAGTCCAATGTGCCCAGCGGCTTGATCTCCCTGAACTGAATCATAAAGCCTGAAATTCTCATTTCCTGCAAGAGCTATCACTTGGTGGGAAAGCCCCATGTCTGGGAAGGGAGTCACTGTACGGCACATGCTGGAAGAAGGCAGGAGTCCCTAGAAAGCGTTCCTCCTGCCCGCTTCTGAGCCCCCTTCTGCTGCACCCAGCGCCTCCTTGGGAGGAACCGGGTCTGTGCTCTGTGTGGGGTGCAGCCGCGAGCTCCCAGGCGCCCGGGGAATCCAAGATATCATAGGAGAGGAGGCAAGAGGAGTGTTTTCATTCAAAACCAAACAGTTTGGCAGCTCTGTTCTCCTCTTCGGGGGCGTTGATTCATTCTAGCAGCTGCTGACGATTTCTCCTAATTACACCCTTAAACCCGATCTGGTGGCTCAGCACCCATTCACTCCGCGTCGCTGGCTGCTGCCTCCTGGGAATGCCACCATCTGGTGGGGAACGTGGGCCGCGCCTCACACCTTCCAGTGCCTTCCGGGAACATGACCTTGGCCCCTGAGCCTGCAAATCCATCCTCTGCGGTGCACCATACAGCGCTCCAAGAGCACACTGGCTAAGAACATCCTCCCCGAGGACCAGAACCGCGGTACATGCAAGATCTGCCCGTCCACGGGCCGCAGATGGACGGGTCCCAGCCGAGCGTCAGACATCACTGGACTGTGAGCCTCCTCTAATATCCGTCCCCATGGCTGTGGCCCATCCATCCAGCCAGCCATTATTATCCAGCATTGACTTGTGCCAGGCCCTAAGAAGGTAACAGCGAGTACAACACAGAGAAGGTCCTGTTTCATGAGGCTGACATTCAAGAAGACAGAGCCAAATGATAACATAAAAAATCATGTTAGCTAAGCAATGACAAAAGTGGGGGTTTGAAAGCAGGTGTAATGGTTTCTATTTAGATTCCCCCCACACACACTCCCCCATGAAAGTCTTGTATGCTCACAGGTGGGCTTTGGAAGGTGGCTGGGTCATGGACACATGATTTCATCAGTGGACTCATTCATTCATAGAATTTAGAGCTAAATGTGATATTGGGGGTGGCGCCTAATTGGAGGAGGTGAATGTGGCCAGGAAGCCTACCTTCAGCTCTCTCTCTGCTTCCTACCTGGCGTGTCATGAGCTCTTTCTCCTCTGCTGTGTTCCTCTGCCATACTGTCCTGCCTTGGAGCCGGGTGACTGTGGACTAAAACCTCTACAGACATGTGCAAAATACACTTCTTCCTAAAATTGTGGGTGTCACGTATTTTGTCCCAGCAATGAAGAAAGTGACTAAGAAACCAGGTGACTTGCATTCCCTGTACTGCCATTTTCTTGCTGCCTGGCTCACCTCTATCCGCCCCTCAGGTCTTGCGCCCCTTCCGTCAACTCCTGAAATCCTTCCCTGATTCCCCAGGCCCCAGCTAGGCATCAGTGGAAAGCACAGTGACCTTGTCTGTCTCCCATAGACAGCTCTGTGAGCTCCCAGCAGGGAGGGCCTTGGTCCACCCCCATGGGCATATCTGTCACTGGAATCCAAAAAGTCACTGCATAACTCACCTGAAGGGCCACACCCCAGAAAGAAGCAACTGTTAATACCCACAGGGATGAGGATGGGAACAGGCATGTTCATCTGCTCCCAGGGACGAGGTAAGCTACAATAATGATTCAGCAATATTCACTTTCAACAAGCACCTCTTGAGACTCAATTAAGAGATACGCACTGACCTACACACTTAAAATAAATCATTTATTTATTTATTTATTTATTTATTTATTTATTTGGGACAGGGTCTGGCTATGCAGCTTGGACTTGTAGTGACCCTCCAGTCTCAGCCTACCCAGCACTGGGATTACAGGCATGCACTGCCACATCCAGTTCTGGTGGCCTGCAGGGTGGCACAGCATGTAGTACCAGGGATCGAACCTGGGTCCTTGCACTTGCCAGGCAGGTGCGTAGACTACTGAGCTATCTTCCCAGCCCCAACCTACACACATCTGAGGCGCTTCTGCAGGAGCTCTCCTGGGTCCTACAGATGAATAAGTGGCCACACAGAGCCAGCTCCTCCCTGCACTACACAGGAAGGCCAGAAGCCAGGGCTCCCGGCTCCAGAGGAAGAGTTTGTCCCCTGTATTCCTCACCCTCACCCACTTTCGACTCAGTAAC